TCCCAGCGACCTGTACGCTCCCACAGAGTGGGTCTCCTCAGGGTGCCGTCAGCCAGACAGTGCCGGCTGGCGGCCCCAAGGGGGAGGGCCTTCTCTGTGGGAGCTCCCACCCTCTGGAACGAACTGCCCCCAGAGATCAGGGTGATCCCTGATCTCCCTTCCTTCCGCCGCGCCCTCAAGACATGGTTGTTCCAGCTTGTGGGACTGGCCTAGGGGATTTTAGAGGGGTTTTAACTATTTTTAATTGAATTTGACTTAAATATTTCCCTTTTAACTAATTTTAAACTTTATTGTAATTTCTGTATTTTTATTCGATATGTTAGCCGCCCTGAGTCCGTAAGGAGAAGGGCGGGATACAAATGTAATAAAATAAAATAAAATAAATAAAATAAATAAATAAATAATAATAATAATAAATGTACATACTTGGGCCTCAAAGCCATGCCTGGTTCTCTAGCACCAGTGCATCCATCAGGCCCATTTGATCTGATCTCTTTCCAGTCCAACTCTTGGCAGCTGTGACCCTCATTGCCTCCAGCACTTTCCATCTCTCTACAGCATCTACCTCTGCAGACACCATGTCTGTTTAGTAGTCTCCCTGTGAACTTTACAGTTTTCTATCTATTTCTCTCTGAATCTTCATTTACAGCAAATTCATCACCCATAAATGACTTGATGTGCCATTATATTTCTTCAATTTTGTAAACAGGGAAGCCAAGATAGTTACAGTCACCAAGAACTAAATGTTGAAAGGCTGATCTAAAAAGATGCAATAATTTATCTCCACCATTTCAGTTCAGGTGACAGATTTAATTAGCAATTCTGGGTAAAAAAAAACAAGAACTCTCCAAGAACGCAAATAGAGTTTGTCGCTACAACCTTGAGATCTACTGTGGACTGAAAGCTGCTTAAGCTATATGGTTATAGCCTTTACTATACTGCTGGGGCTGTAGAGAAATTATTTTAAGAGTGGGAGTGGTGATTGTCCAGACTTAGAAGTGGTTAGAGGATAATGTCATATTATATTGAAACTGAATTGCCTCCAAAAATTCTCCAGATTGTTATATGATTGAATATTAATGGGGTGTAAATCATGCATTCAGCACTGAATGATCTTGTAATCCAAGTAACATGGAGAAATAAAAAAATGAAATCATGTGGAAAAGGTTGATCGGGAGAGTACTAACCATGCCAGCATCAATTGCTAGATAAAATGAAGGATTAAGGTATAGGTTGGGGTGAAACCACAAATTTAGCACCAAGTTATTGATTTTTGGTGGTACTTTTTTCTTTTTAAAATTAATGGTGGCAATGAATGCAGATGATCTCTGAGTGGCAAATTGTTTCCATTCCCACTCCTTAACCCCAAATAATGCAAAAATATCCCAAATTGTTCTGAAAATCCACAGCATCATTCTTCCTAAATCAGAAAGCAGGGTGGGAATAGTATACAAATCAACAATAACCCCATATGAAAGGTTTGGAGCGGCCTCAGCTGCAGATGTGGTGTTTTTAAAGGTGAGGAGGCAGAGTTTGACTCCCCTATGCTTCAACAGTTTTCACCCCACATCAATATCTATTCTCTATCCTACCTGATTGCAGTTTCTAAAAGTTTCTGGAATGACTTGAATCTGGCCATGGGATGGGACTGTATGTAACTCCAGAGAAATGTTGTGGTGCTTAAGATAAGTGCTGTTTCTCCTGAGATCCTGGTGCTCTTTTTACAAACCATCTCTAATCACAAAGATTTATATAAGTTGTAAAAGTCTATCCTTGTTTAATCTGCATTCCCCTTTTGTTACAGGTTTTTTCTCCTGTGATTCAACACCGGAAGTATTATGACAGCTTTCTCCAACCTGATGTTTTTCAAACGTGCCATCTAACTAATATAATTATGGAACATACATTTTATAGAAAACTTTTCTTTCTCAAGATTTTTGTCCCTTGCTCTTTCTTGCCCACTCAATCATCTCGCACCTCATGCAGCTTCTGCTGTGCAACAATAGAGCCATGAGCTTTTTCTTTGTGGCATTTTGAAACGAGTCGGCTCTTTTTATTCTTGAGAAAGTTATGGTGGTAGCTAGCTATCAGTAGCAATAGGTTACACCTCTTGTTCTAACTGCCTACATCTTTTTCTCTCTCCTTCAGAAGTTCCTGCTGTTTACAATGGAACTTTTCCTAAGTATGATGTCACTGTTGCTGTCCAAATACCTTTGATGTCAAAAACCCAGACCTGAGGGATCAGCAGCAGGAGATTACAAAACTCTCAAGAAACAAAGGGTCTCCTCCTGCTTCATGTGCCCTTCAGAACAAAGGCTGCAAGAACAAAGCAGCACACAGAACCTTCAGTCAAAAACAGGTGGGTTTTTAAAAGAGAATATGGAAAAAAGGCAAAAGGAGGCTGAAGGGGTTCATATAGCTACAAGTCGTTAAAATAAGTAAGTCAACAAACAAACAAAAATCCACGGGGCTTAAATAATTGTCAAAATCTCTCTCTTTTCTAAAATTAAGCTCGGGGGTGGTGGTGGAAGCTAGATGTTACAGTATGTGAGGTTCTTATTAATATTCTTATTGAGAGTCAGTGAATGAGCATCAGGTATTTATATGAATAAACAGTAAGTAAATATCAGGGGTTCCGAATGCCAAAAGGGAGTGGGTGGAAGTTGAAAATAAACTGGCAAGATGAGTGGCAAACAAATTTAATAAATAAAATAAAATAAAAAATGCTGGTAGAATAAAGATTAAGGAACATTATTCCCAAATTCTCTGCTCAAAACACATGATTTGTAGGTTCCTGTTTAGTAAAAAATCTTCACATCAGTTGCACACATCCGATGTACTTGTCTAATTTAAATCACAGTGCTTTAATTTCTGAAATGATTTACAAAATGCAGTATGTTTCCATTTGTGTCTTCCAAGATACCTTATAACCTAATCTAAAGGTCCACTCAACTAATGGCTGTTAGGAACAAATGGAGTGTGTTTAGTATAGCACAATAGCTGGAGATTCTGAGAGTCACTATCCCAACTCATCTGGAGATCCCTGAGTTGAAGAACCCTAGTTTAGTATTAATAATCAGTGAAAAGATGCCTCAAATATCTTAGTTCAGTTGGGTAACCTTATTAGTTTATTGAGACTTCAGTGACATCTTGGAGCACAGCAACAAAAGGACTGTTGAATAAATTTTCACCCTCACCTTCAAATAATCTGGAATTGTAGTGACATCAGTTTCTAGGTTAATTCTGGTAAGCCTTGTTCTATACCAGGGTCTTCAAACTTGGCCCTTTTATGACTTGTGGACTTCAACTCCCAGAATTTCTCAGCCAGGCACATTGGCTGAGGAATTCTGGGAGTTGAAGTGCACAAGTCATAAAAGGGCCAAGTTTGAAGACCCCTGTTCTATACAAATTAATTAACTCAGTGAAGCAGTTGAGGCAAAAAAAATAGCTGTATTTATTCAAACTTGATTTTAAAAAGTTGAAAGCAAACCTTGGCAAATGATTCTGATCCTGCATTACTTGATGATATGAAAAAAGTGGAAAGGATTGGCCAGAGAATGGCAGCAGCTAATATAAATTGAGCAAAACTCTGAGAAGTTTCTTTTCACGAAGCTTCTCTACTTGGATGCAGTGGCAATCAAAACACTTGCAGACATACAATGATGCATGATGACGGCTGGAAGGAGGAAGAAATACTTAAAGCCTAAAAGGGAGACTAACATCAGAATTACAATGAGAATTAGTTGCTATGTGCAGTGCTGATCTGAAATGGAAAAGGACAAGAAAGCAAAATGGATGAAAGAGAGAAGTGGGCACTTGGCTATTCTGTCTAGAGATATTTCCACAGGGCAGAACAATGGGAAGATGGATTACTGCCAGCCCAAAGGTTCACAGACTTCCACCACCTGCTGAAAGATACAGACGGTGTGAACAGAAAGCCAGCCCTGGAGAACAAAAGGGCACAGGAGGCAATTTCAGATAAATGAGAGACAGCCAGAAGGCTTCTGATACAGAGGAAGGTGAGGAGATTAAAAGACTGTCTGAATGTGACAAGCCATCAGAGCAGTGGATGGGGTGGGGGAGCAGCTTCAGAGACCTTATAAAGGAGTCTGTGACCACATTAGTATCAGAGAGCAAGAGAGGAAATAAGCCAAGGGATAATGTCTCCTGACCCTAACTGTATACAGGTTTTGGTATTACCCAAACTCATGCCCTTCTAATTTTTTCACACAAAATGAGAGTTCTATTAATTCTGGTAATGTTCCTAGAATACCTTCTTTCCACAAAACAAACAAGCCAAAGCCAACCCACCCCTCACCCTCTAGTTTAAGGAAATTGTTGAACTTTGTCCTTAGAGTGGAACCACTTTCATCTATCTCTTTCCCTACCCTCTTTCTCCCCCAAAGAAAAGTCTATGCATTTGTCAATTACTAGTATACGATTGGTGAAGAACTATTTTCCATGGACATAGAAAGTAGGATCAGAAATAATGGATTTAACTTGCAGCTACCTAGGCTTCATATAAGTATTAGAAATATTAGAAAAAACTAATCTGTAGAACTATGGAAGAGTCTGCCTGTGGAAATTGTGGCTTGGATGGAGGTATTGAGAAAGAGGCAGAAAAACCACCTCTCATGGGTAGTTTAATTGATCTTCCTATATATTGCAAAGGGTTGGGCTATATAATCTTTGTGATCCCTTTCAGCTAAATAATGTTATGATTCTCCTAGGTATGTTTACCTGGCAAATAGATAAGCAGCAGTGCATTAATCATTTAATCTTTCAATATGGAATACCCTCTTCTTCCAATATAAAGCTACTTTATATCAGCTGTTCCCTCCAAATGCTGGCCAGATTTATTGGGAATGTAGCTCCCATTCCCAACAGCCCATCACCAAAACACAGAATGATAGCTGTGACCTGAGTGAAAAGGGGCAAGTTGCCCACTCCAATCTCTGGGAAATAGCAAGCTAACTTTTGCCCAGCAAAAGCTGTGTCTCTTTCCCCCACTTTATATAGTACTGTAAGAGAAGGCAATTTTGCTCCTGAGCAAAATTGAACATTTTGAAGAGGCAGGAGAAGGCAACCTACCTTTGTTAGCACAAGCCATCCACTGCAGGGGAGTGACATCATAGTTATGCTGTCCAACAGAAAAGGTGAATACTCGTACCTGGAACAAAACAACCAACCTATAAGGAGTATGTCTACCAAAGGGAGAGAAATTTGGAACATCCAACAGTAAATGAGCGTATCGTTCCCTTACTTTATCCCATACTTAAATGGCTTCATTGTAAACTCTTGTAAATGAAATCTACCAATATGCCCATTCAAATACTAGCAAAAATTCCTACAACTTGGAATAGCACAATGATGTTAGATCTATCTGTTTGACCATTAGTCACTTTCTTTCCTAATATATATATAAAACCCTGCCATTTGTCCTAAAAATGTGGAAAAGCCTTACTGTGTCTTAAGAGATGCTGAAAGGACAACTTGCCATGGGACAATTCGCCACAATCAACTCATCATGGGACAACTCATTGCAGGACAATTCAGTGCTGTATTAATAATTTCATTCAGTTATTTTAATTATTTGTGACTATGTTTTTGTCAAAATTATTGTTAACTCTTGAATTTCTGGAGTGACTTTATTTTATTATTATTGGCCACGGTTCCACTGAAATTAATATCCAATATCATGTCTATAGCATTCATCGAAGCTCATCACTCTGATGATATGTGAGTTCTCAGAGCCATGAGCTGAGCTTCTCTGTGTTAGATCCATGTAAGCCAGAAAGGTTTCTCAGGAAAGGATATATGGGTGACCTCTGGTAGTGGTGAATGCATCTTTAAGGGAGGGGATGATCCTGCTGATAGATAAGAAGGCAGAAGTCTGACTTTTCCTCAACCTCCATTGTCCATCTGATCCCTAATCAGGTTGTTGAGAAGATTATTGTGTTGCAGCTTCAGAAAACACTGGAGGAAATGGACCCCTTTCAGTAGGGTTTCAGGTCTAGACATGGACCAAAACAGCACTGACTGAGCTTGGGAAAGTACATCCATCCTTGCTCTTCTTGACCTTTCAGCAGCTTTCAATATCATCATCATGATATCCTCTTGGATCAGCTCTGGGTGGTCTATGGAAAACAATCTTATATTGTTATTATTAATTTATCGCTGGTGAGTTATTCTCAGATATTTTTTTTGCTTTTCTTGCATTGTTTTTTTCTTTCTCTCTTTTGTTATATTGATGTTTTTAATTGTGTTTGCCTCCTGTAGTTCTTTTCGTGAGGTGGGCTGACATATAATTGAAATAAATAAAAAATAATCGTAGGCACAAGTGTCTTTAATCAAGTATGTTCAACATAGAGAGCCTGTTGGGTCTAGTGGTTAAGACACCAAACTAGAAAAGGGGAGACCGTGAGTTCTAGTCCCACCTTCACCATGAAAGCCAGTTGGGTGACCTTGGGCCAGTCGCGCTCTCTCAGGCCAACTCACTTCACAGGGTCATTGTGGAAAAAATAGGAGCAGAAAGGTGTGTTGGATATGTTCACCATCTTGAGTTATTTGTAAAAAAAATAAAGGCGGGATACAAATAAATAAATATATACATATGCAGGAATTTTTCAAGAGACTACTGTGCATTTCATATTGCTTTGCTAAACATATGACACAATAGTACCTGACAGTAGTAAGGTGTGAAGAACACTCATTGCAATTTATAATGCTCTGTTTAGGAGCTTATTTTTTGTTAATCTGAATATGTATGACAACCTCTGGGATAGATGTAGGAAAAAAGGACCGAAAATGCAAGAGCATATTGATTTGATCCCCCTACTTACTAATTGATTATTTTGGCAGTTTTGTGGCAAAAACTAAACCATATGCAAAATGGCAATTGGCCATGCATTTTCAAGCAGCTATTATACCTATATTGATTGATCCAAAGAACCAAATAATATTTTATTGATTTTGGATCATATTTATGAAGAAATCAAATGGTTCTAGGCAGTCTTGCTTTATTTGTTTGTTTGTTTAAAAGATTTATATGGTCGCCCATCTAAAACGATTCTGGGTGGCTTACAACAGCACTGTTGTTGCTGCTGAATGGCTTCTGTAATAGCCCTGTTGCTCAGTTTCATATCAAGGAAAGAATTTGCTTGGTTGTCTTAATCAGCGCTCACATGCTTCCACATTTCCTAAGAGGAAAAACCTAGTGGTCAAATAAATAAATAAATAAATGTATTATATTATGGAAGGATCCAGTCCCCTTTTATTGAAGGGGGAAAACCCCATAAGCCCCATAATAATATACAAAATACTCTTGAAATACTGTGCATAAATAGCTGCCCTCCAGCTTCTCTTATTGCCAATTTCATCCCCTTCTCTTGGAGAAGGGGAGGCAGAGAAAATAGTTCCACAGCTATTGGATGTGCCAACTTCTTGCTTTAATAATATCACTCATAACTTCATCATCCTTAGACCAGGCTACTCATTTCAAATGGGAGTAGTCAGTGTGCCCACATCAGTGAGGTGGGAGGGACAAACTTTGTTTCTCTCTGGTGACCTCCATCTTGTGGACCAATTTTCCTCTGAGAGGTTCAGATGACACCTCCCTGGCTTTGTTTTCAAGAGGGCTAGGATTTTCCATACAACCTTACAATATTAATGTTGCAGTGATTAGACTGTGAGTAGCATCCAAAATTGCTCTTATTCTTTTTACTTTTGTTTTTATTCTGTATTGTTATGTTTATTATGGTTTTATTGTTGTTTATCTGGGGAATATTTTATGTTGATATTATATTGGTTTATATTTACCATCCACAGTTTTTAAGTATACCGTATCGATAAATGTTTTTTTTTTCTCTTCATGCAATCATTATTTGTTTCCGATAGAAATTGCAGAGGTAAAGAAAAGTGCTTCCTCTTCTTCACTTACTGGGAATTATGGATGCAGTATTGTCTGGAGGGAATCCCTGTAATTCAGACTTTCAAATGAGAGGCCTTTCTAATCACATTGGATTACAACTTCTATCATCGTCACCTTGCAGAATTTGAGTTCTATAAATTGAACCCTTTATCTAGAGCCATCTCACACTTCCAATCAATTAAACAAACTGAACTGGGTTCTATTTTGGACCTATTAAAATACTGGAGACCTCTTTTTCTTGCCCTCTCTAAAATATTTCAGGGGATGTTAAATTAATCCTCGCTTTCACCTTTGCAATCAACAAGTTCTCACTGCCAATTTCCATTCTCAGATGTATACATTAACTGAAATTAAATTTAGATATTGAAAAACTGAGGATGAATTTTGAAGGAATCGTGACAACTGTCCTACTTCTAATGCCCACTAGGTGTTAGTTACATTAATAAGACTTATATACAATAAGTTAGAAAAGTGAGGTCCTTTCCTTTCCTTTCCACTTTGTCCTGGCACAGAAGTGACTGGGGACTGCTGGTATTTGTAATCAGCAACATTTTGATAGCTACAAGTTTTCTATTATTCCTGCTGAGTAAAAGTATCCTCTCTCAAAAAATGCAAAAGAGACATAACCCTCTCCTTTATTTCTTTGTATGAAGAGGGAGAAAGAATGTGAATATGAAGAGTACAAAAGTTATGTAACTTTGAGTCTAAGCCCTTTAATTTGAACTTCCATTAACAGGTTGACATTTTATTATACAGTTGACTTCGATGGGATATCTCAAAAATCCAACATATTAACAAAAGGTATTTTTTTTTCTTGTAGAAACAGTCTCTACAAACTTTCAAAGGAAGTTCTGTCCACTTTTCCTTCTGGCACTTCAAGGTCAGTGCAAGCAATAAAACCAGTACCGTATGTTAGACGCCCCATTAAAGGGGCAGCGGCTCAGTGCAGGAGCAGACAGGCAGGAAGATCAACTGTCTAAATAGCTGGCATCAAATGAGGCGGATAAAACCTGAGTTAGCTGCTCCTGTCTGTCCCCATGACTGAATTGAAGCAAGTCAGACAGCTGGGCCTTCAATTGTTTGGTATTTCTATAGGAATATATCCTATGTTCAAGAATTTGATTATATTGGCATTGTTACTGACTCACATAGAAATCCTCATTGAGAAAGATTATCATTGTATCTGCAGTCGAACAAGATAGGCAATTTATGACTTTACCTGCATTTTCTTCAGGAAAAAATCAAATGTGCATATGGGGCAATCAGAAGAAGGGTATTTAACTTAGCCACTGCACAGTCATTTGTTGTAAAATAGACCCACCAGAGTCAAAGGATGAAAATTTAGAACAAGACAAATAATGGCATGGAATGAGGAGAGGAAGGTGTTCACAAGTTGTTGTTAGGTTATGGCTGATTGCACAGTTAGCCAGAGGTTTAGATTGGATTTGGCATTTTTATCTCCCAATCGAGTCCTTTCTAAGGACTTGAGATAACCAGTTGTTGGTGTTGGCTGCTGTTAAAGGCATCATCACAGGATGTAAGGCAAGCTATTCCAAGTAAATCTGCATTTTGCAATAATTGATGGTGATTTTGTCAATGCTGATAGTGTTCAAATGGTGCTCCAGATGTTTTGGGATTGCACCCAAGGTGCCTATTACTATTAGTACTACCTTTGCTTTCCTTTGTCACATTCTATTTCTATTTGCAGATCTTTGTATTTTGTGATTTTCTCCTGTTCTTTCTCTTCTCTACTGCTGCCATGCCGCTATCCAGACTTTTTTGCCTGTTTTATTGACAATTGTGAAGTCTGGAGTGTTATGAGGCAGGTGCTGTCTGTTTGAATTCTAAAGTCCCAGAGTACCTTAGCTTCCTCATTTTCAATGACTTTTTCTATTTCACGGTCCCACCAGTCCTTGCTTGTAGGCAAATGGTATTTCTTGCAGGTCTTCCAATAGAACATTGTTGCTACTTTGTCATGCCGTTGTTTGTAGCCAGTCTGTGTGATCTTCTTGCAGCAGCTAACCAGGTGGATCAGTTTCTCCAGCTTCTTTGTAGAGACAGCATTTGCTGTCTGCTGCTGTCTTCTCAATTCTGGCTTTGTATTCATTTGTTCTTAAGGCCTGATCTTGTGCAGCCAGAATTAGCCCCCTTTTCTCTTTCTTTTAACTGGTCTCCACCATTGCCAGGTCTCATTATATGCTTTGCCTATATACTGGCCATGTCATATTTTGCTTTGCCACGTCTCTTTCTATTCTTCACTCGGTCTTTATTATTATTTTTACTTTGCATATCCTTTCATTTAGATAGGATTTCCTGGCAGAAAACAAAAAAAATCTGTAGATTTTACAGAATTCCTTTTTCTGGACCCTAGGAAGAACTGACTCTACTCGCTTATTCATATTTGTTGAAGCTGAATTGTAACTAAATGTGATTGTCATGGTAGAAGAGTAAAACAAATCCTGATTCATTAAGTTTCTTGTGGAGATTTCCCCAATTATCTCTGCTAAAGCACAGGTGAAATTAAGAACTTTTCTAAAAAAAATCCGGGAGACCAGATGGTTAAGAATTTTAAGAGTCTATTTTAACTTAGAGGCTATGCAGAAGATATTCCTTTTTACAGACGGAAAGCTAATAAATGCAGCAACGTGAGGTCTCTTCCAATAAGCTGATTTAGCATTTTCGTGTAATATATATATATATATAAATAGCATTTTTATATATTTAGTGAAGAAAGAATGCATTTGTGCATCTATATAAAAAGTGCTTGATTTTCTGTTGTATTCTATCTATTATTCATTATTTAGATTCTTGATTTCAAAACCTGAAATATATCTGAAACACAGAACTGGAGCTGGCAACAATTTGAGGATCCAGTATACAATTTCTGGCCTCTTGAGAATGGGAGTTATAGTGTGACAATGGCATTACCAGAGAGGATAAATCTGGAAATGTACCATGATTTGGATGTGGACTATGGAAGGGGAAAGGATCGGATGTTAATATTTTGGTATTACTGGAGGAATCCCAGTAGGCCTTCCCTTTAGGACCCCTTTGAGAATGGACCATCTGGACATACTACTCTCTAATCTGATTGTGAACCTGACGAGACATGCAAGTGGCTGTAGTAATATCGGCTGCCCACCTGGGGACATAATATAGTCATATCCAAAGGGGAAGTTCAGGCTGAACACTCACCGTCTTGTTGGGTCCATTATACTTCTCAAAAACATCTTGCACGCGATCTTCTCCTCCATCCGTAAACATCATGATCATCTTATTACAGTTGGCTCTTGTGATGTTGGACTATAAATAAACAGAGATTTCAGCAAGTATAGGACACAGAACCAAGTACACTTTTTTTCTGGGAGAGATACAATCTGATATACAGTACATACTGCATTTGTAAGGGCACTTGATTAAAATAAATTATTGGTGGGAAACTGGCATTTAAGGTATGCAGTATGGCTTCTTCAAGCAACTTTTCTGTAACCAAATGTGGTTTTCTGCATGCTTCTTCCTAATAAAAATTTCTTTGCATATTTTTCTTAAATATGCATATTCCCATATACATATTTTGAGCTATAAACAATTTATTTTTTTAAAAAACCTGCAGATTTCAGTGTAGAATTTGAACTCTGCACATTTGTATACATTTTACTTGAGACTTCTCTAAAGAGAAGAACAAAACCAACACACAAACAGGTTGCTCACTACAGAAATACAGACACACATGCCTTGGTACATATATTTTTCCTATACAGAACTCAATTCAATCAGGGTGCATTTTTCAGACTTCTGAATAAGACAGTTTTGGGAGCTTGCTTATAAGGCCAGCCGTTTTTGCGCTCTGCTCATGGAGTGAGTTACCGGTCTACCCGCCCCAATTGGCCGTATTGTTTCTAGCTAAGTGTATTAAACAGTTTTGTTTGTATTTTATCCTGGTGTTCGATTGTTTCTTTTAAGTATGAATATACCCAGGATTTGCATTTTTAACATAATCAAGGACAAATATATATATGTCCTTATGTATCCCTAGGATGGCATTTCCCTATAGAGGACAACCATAGGGTATTTGTAATGGGAAAGAGCAGAAGGCAATAGATGTCAAGGCTATCAGTTCTACTTCTTTCCCATCCTGGTTGCTGTCCTCTAAAGACACTGGCAGAGAGACATCTGTTTTCTTTAGCTATTCTCCACGGGTGAAGGTGGTACAGATGAGCAAGGGAGAGGGAGTTGCTGTCGGGACCAAAATTATGTTGTGGCTATTACCGCTCAGCATTTAATAGAGCTATTCATCTTTATTTTGTCCAACGTCATTATAACCCTTCTGATCCAAGTCTTCTCAGATGGATCCTGCTAACTTTATAATGAAATGGAAGAGGCAGCTGTTTCCAATGAAATTTAAGTACCAGCTGCTGGAGTTTTCATTTATCTAGGGAAAAGTACCCAGCACTGAAACTTTATCCTTGGTTTCAGCCCCTCACATGGTCAGGAAAAAGAATAATTAAGGTTCCAGCTCTGTTTGTCATCTTAAGAATTAAATATTTCAGGGAAAAATTGCAATGAAGGCAATTCCAGAGATGCCAGGCTGTTGGATGGGCAAATATCCTTCTGTTCTAGCACATCAGAAGACAGAGCCAATGTAAGGTAATGGGGTACAGATCTGAATATTTTAAAATTTATTGCAAGGAATAAATGTCCCTTGCTTGTACATAGGAGATACAAATTGATACAAATACAAATCAGATGTCCTTTTGGCTAATGAACTACTCTTGCTGGTGGCAGGATCGAAACAGCAGTGTTTAAGCAATGCCTGCTTGCATGGTTGCTAGTAGTGCAGCTAATTCTCAATTTACAATTATAATTGACTCAGAATTAAGGTCATAAGTCATGGTCGTCCTTAAGCAGGTTACCACGTGACCATATCAGATTTTATGACCTTTTTATAGCAGTTAAGTGAATGTGATCGTTGTGAAACAAATCTGTTATACCAAATGACCATTTTTTTTGCCAAAAAAACTAAGTAGTAAACTGTGGAAACTGGCAAAAAATTTTGAAAATTGTGGTCACGTGACTATGGAATGCTCCAAATAGTTGTAAATGTGAGCCAGTTACCAAGCATACGAAAATGACCATGGGCCAATCATAATTCCAGAACTGGGTCATTAGTATCTTTGGGAGGGGAGGATTTTCATAACTTCAATAGTTGTTAACTGAGGGCTACTTGTATTATCATCAGAATAACCCCTCTCAATCAAGAGACAGGTTTAGTGACTCCGTGTCAGTTATTATCTTGGTCCAACCTGCCTCACAGGGTTGCTAGGTATAAAAAAAACCCCTCCCTCATATGGTTGATAGGTGTGAAAAAGAATCTTGTATTTATCTTGAATACTCTGGGAGAGAGATAATCTACATATGGGACAAACAGAGGAATACAAATATATAACGGGCTTACAATATAATGTGCTTACAAATGGCAATTTTTATCTAGTGCAGAATATTTAAAATACAATAGGCTCTCTTTTCTGAAAAGATTCCTACGATGCAGGCATTCTTGAACTTGCAGCTAAAAGGGGAAATCATTGTGGCTTTAATTGACAGGTTCCACAATCCTTCACAGTCCTTTAATATTTTTTTTTTATAAAAGACTGTTGTGCTGGGCTAGGGTTAACTGTATGCTAAGATAACAGAACAGAATATAACAAAGGGAGACAATGTTTGTGGAATGTTGTGCTAAGCTGGGTTCTCATAGTAATGGAAGCTGTAGTAAATCTCAAGAGCAAAGCTGCAGTTGGCAAACTAGAAGGTTACATCTATCTAGGGAGACAAAACAAAGGAAGTGAATTGTGGCTGCCATCAAACATTTGACACTGTGGAGTGAATGGGCCACACTTAGTGTTATAACTTGATGCAATTCCCAAGGCTCAAGGAAGAAATCATGGCAAACTTAGATTAAAAAAAAGTGACAAGAAGCAAATGTCATAAGAGGCCTGTGTAAGTAAAAATTTAGTGCCATGTCCAGAGTTCTGAAAAAGGACAACCTTGTAATTACAGGTAAACACAATGGATTTCTTTCTTTCCTTGCGGCCTCAGTATTATTCCATTTCTATTCTTTTGCTCTAAAGTCGCATGCAGGATTTCTTTCCTCATTTTATTACAGCATCAACTCAAGTCCACCAGTAGATTTTTTTGGCTGAGTAAGAGTTGGAGTTCAATTTTCTCAGGTTGTTATCCAATATATATTTATTTAGTGCCCCATCAAGGAAAACTAAACCAACATAATCACTTCTACTTTTTAACACAGTAATGATACTAGGAGAATCTGAAACACAAACATAACATTCCAGGAATCCTTCTGCTTAGACTTGTCAAGGTCAAGCTAAAATAACAAATACAGAGATTTTCATTGTTTCCCCCCTTGATAGTTGCTGGGGATAGATTGGGAGAATCCTGCACTTGGGTGCTTTCAGCAAATAGAACATTAAAAATTCTTCATATGACTTTATATCAAATTTGGCCCTTCTCCAGCTCCATATTTCTTTGCCTCCATCTTATTTGAAATCTGGCATTTTAACGCTTAACCTTCCACCCTCCCAAGTTTAAACCCTGGACTTACATTTTGCAATTGCTCAAAGGCATATTCAAAGCCAGCCTTATAATCAGTGGTTCCTTGGGCCTCCATTCCTTCTACGTCCTCTTTGAAGACCTTCTTGTTGCGGATATTAGCTTGCACTAAATGTTTAAAACAAGACACAGGTTGTGCCTTCTGGTTAAACTGAAAGACAGAAAATTACAATCCATTAGACTAGTTAAGGACACCATGCAAAAGCTGCTAACTTGATCAGCTTCCACCAACCGGGTTTAGTGAATAACAGCTGTAAATGTTTTGAGTAATATTGAGCCACGATAATATACTCAGGTCAGCTGAGACAATCAATTGAGGAGTCAAGGAAGATCAGAAGAAAATTACTACTACTTTAAGAGACTGACTTTCCTTTAAAATATGATTATATCCTAGTTCAAACTATTGGAACCCTTCCAGTTGATAAAGTTTCTGCAGCTGTGCTGTTCAAGATTCAGCTATAAAGGATGTAAGAATAAGAGAAGACACACAGCAAAGGGACAGCTTGGTTTCCCACTATACTTGGAATGATGATCAATTGCAATATACTGGTAAGGACCTGCCTCAACTAGTGCTAAAGCAAAACTCTTGAAACTGGTGTTGTTTCAAACAGGAACTTTTATTGAGAGTTAGTGATGGCAGAGTAGAGCAAGGCAAGATCTAAATTCTTCCCACATGAAATGTCATATTGAAACTGTCCTTTCAAACCCGTTCCTAGTGTCCAACCATCCAGTTTGATTTTAGCCAATCCATAGGTGTGAAGTTGTTATGGGAACCGGAGTGATAAAATGCAGTTCTCAAGATTTCAGTTCCTCTGCAGTCCAGTCTCATCCATATGGAGATAAGGCAGATGGCCGCAGGCATATCCCTCCCATCTTTTACACCCAGAGAGGGTCATTTCAAAGAAGACAGAACAAAGCAAAGGAAATACATCTCAGAGCCCACAGAACCTCCCCCCTCTCCACAGAATGGCAGTGCCCAAAAATGGAATGCACAAGCAAGTGAAATGAATTAAATGAAATGGATTAAATGCATTGAGGGTCTGACAGGTCTCAACCTGTAGTGAATGTATCTTTGAGAGAGAGATCAATCAGCAGTCCAAGATCTATCCCTGCTTTTTGCATGAGTGGGCATATAAATATTAAGATTTCAGCTTACTATAACCTACGGATAATGGGAATTGTAGTTCTGTTTTAAAGGGAAGGAACACAATGATCTCAAACTGATATTTCCAATTACCACTGCAGCTTGCAATTAACAGGTTCTCTAGGAGAAAGTATGCCAATTAAAATGCATAACAAGTGCACAGCGGATATGCCCACTGGGGAAGATAGTTTATGGTCTTCCCACCCTCTTGTGAAAGAAAGATTATAACTCCAATCACACAAAGAAAGACACAGTTTGGATAAGGTTGTGTTAAAGAAGTGCAGAAAGGAGTGGCTGAAATAAACATGGTTTCCCCCTATGCTGGGGGTTACAGCCCTCTTACTGATGACCACATTCTGTACTCAGGTTTCTGTAGGAATAGACTGACATTAAAGAATAACAAAAACCTTCGTTCCTGTTAAGAGTGATTGAGAATTGAATGAATTTGTGGATAGTATAACTGAGATTGCCCAAACATATTTTTTGCGGGGCATTTTATTGCCTTATCACAAGGTCACAGTCTCAGTGAAGTGGGTGCTCTATGCTAAACTGTTGTTGGGAGAGAGCAGGCTTCTCTTGCATAGAGTTTGGCCAGCAGGTGAACTGAAAAAAACACTCATTTTTGCTTATGGCTTAGTTTGCTGGAAATACAGAACATTAATTTAGAAGGCAGTGATCCAGCAAAAGTAACGAGGCTAGACTTGTTAATTAGGCCAGCCATGTTTCTGCCAGTCAACAGGCACATGATAGGGTTACAGAGAATGATGGAGTTTTTATTTTTTTTCGTGGTGTGCCTTAATTTTGACTTATAAAAAGAGCAAATTTACAGGACTTTATTGAGGGGAAGAAGAACAAGATTAATTTAAGTCAAATTAAACATTAATTCAGTAAGATATCCTAAAATACATAGTACAAAACCAAAAAATACTTAGCAGGCAATTCCTCAAGCTTTCTCCATGTCCTTTATGCTCAAGATCAGGTTTTGGAGTAAAAACAGTACATTTGCTAATTGTTCCTGATGTGGCTAGGATTGTGACAGTTTGGGATTCATCCTATCTGAAAATCTGTCTTGGAAAATTATAATTTTTCAGGGGGGATGCAGCTGAGCAGCAGAGATGCCAATATTAAGAAGACCTTCAGGGGACATCCATTAAGAAATGACAGGAAATTTCAGGAATGACACCTCCTTCTAACACTGCCAGGAAAAAGACATTGTCCTTGTATAAGTTTGCCAGCTGGTAAAAAAAAAAGTGTGTGTGTAGGGGGGGGAGACAGTAATAAACCAGTAACTTGTGGCAGATGGAAAAATTGGCATGCCAACTAATTACAGTTCAGGCTTGCTTCTTGGACACTAGTTCAACAGAAATCTGGATATGGACGAACTAACTTTAAAATCATGGCACCACTGACAATTTTCAACCTAGTGCCTTCCAGTTAGGTGGGGATGTTGTAAGTTTGCTCTTCTCAAGCCATGGTGTATTCATTTCTTGCTGAAGTGTCACGGTTTAAGATCATCTATTTTTATTCCACATTTATTGTTTTTTATTTAAGGTGACAAATACACTTAGTACTACTCTTTCTTCCTCCTATTTTCCCCACAACAGCAACGCTGTGAAATGAGTTTTGCTGAGAGAGAGAGAGAGAGAGAGAGAGAGAGAGAGAGAGAGAGAGAGAGAGAGAGAGACAGCGATTGAGCCAAAGTCCTCCAGATGGCTTTCGTGCCTGAAGCAGAACTATAACTCAGTCTCCTGGCCTCTAGTCTCGTGCTGTAACCAGGCGCCATTTAATAATTTAAATTTAAAATAAATTTAAAATCTTAGTCTGTCCTCTGAACATAATAAATGTATTAAATATTGCAATTAGAACTGAAACTGAAGTGTAGAGACATACTGAATAAGCCTGCCTTGTCCTAAAAGTCAACCTATCAGAAAATATTATATAGGGGATTTTAAGAACTCTGATGTCATCTGCCAGTATATATTTGGGATTTCTAGTCAACATAGCTAATGGCAAGGAATTCTTGAAATTATAGTCCAAAATATCTGTTCAACTCTCAGTTTCCTATTTGATTTATAGGTGATGCATAATAAATAAATATGTCATCTGCTGTCAAGAAGGTACAGATTGTACTCCTAAATTGTTTAGGTTTTACTTTGTAACAAAGAGTGTTGTTATGGAAACTATTTAAAGGGGAGTAAACTTGATTTAAAGCAATGCACCAGGCCCAGTAGATATAAATGGTAAAGTTTTACTGATATTTTAGTGGGTTTTTTTGGGTTTGGACACATGAAACATTGCTCTACAGTGCCAAGGACACCACACTGCCAGCTTCATACTGTATACATGTATATATACTGTACATATATACATGGGATTTGTCCCTCAAAGGCAGAAAAATGTTGAAGGCTGGAATAATAAACAAAACATTAGAGTTAGCGTGATGTATAGAATGAATATTATATAAACCAAAGTGGGATTTTCATCACTTAAGATAGCTCTCCTCAGCCGTGCTAGCCACTGGGACCAATTTAGCTTAAGGACAGATCAAGTACTTGTCAGCCTGCAAGGGCAAAGAGTACCAAACCACTCATTTCCTTGTGCTGTTCCACAAGTAACATCTGCTTTCTCCATCTCTCAGTCACTTCCCACTCTTTCTACTGAGAGCATTTCTTGAAGCTGTGATGGTACCATTCCTTCTCATCTTCAGAAGAAAGTTGGTATAAGAGGGGCCAGTGGTTCTCAGGCTAGTGTCAACATATTCCAGCTATGAACTTGAAAATAAGAGCCAAAGGGCCATTAACTTGGAAATAAGGGGGGGGGGAAGAGTCTAGAATTTAAACTCTGGAGCAACTATCCAAGCATACATATATACATATTCTGTGATTGTGAGAGTGGCTTAAGTTTTATCTGCAATGAAGTATCAGAATTTAGTAAATCATGTCCGAAAGTCTACTAGCAAGCCCTTTCTAGAATAAGGGATGGAGAGCCTACAGTTCTGTCAGCCCTTATCCAAACAAATAAGGAGAGATGGGAAGCAAGACCTCCCCGCAAAAAAACAACAATCCTCTCTCAAACAACTATAGGGCACTTAGAAGAGAGGCAAGGTTTATTCTTCCCTGAACTGAATTTAAAAACAAAAACAAAAACTGGAAGGTTTTTCAATTTGAATGGCTGAACCCTCTTCCTCTTCCATAAAGCTCCATGTGCTTGCTGGAGAGCTGAATATCATTCATAGAGATATTTAAGCAGATTTAGGTTGTTCCTTACTTTTTCCAAGCCATAGCAGACATGAGAGAACACCTCTCCTCTTCCAGAAGCTTAACACTTGCCAGAAGACTAGGAGAGCAAGGAATAACAGGTAAAAAGGACCCTCTATTTTAGATTAGGGACAGGGATATGACAGGTAGAAAGAGGCTGTTGAACAAATGGCTGCATCCTTAGATGTCCCTTTCCATGTATCTATCCAACCAGAGGCAGCAGCTTGGGAAGACATTTCTAAAAGGAGTTCAGCTTTGCTGATCCATTCTTGATCTTCTGGATCTATAACCACAACACATTTCTGCCTGTAAACTAACCTTAATCCAAACCCAGGTCCAGGAAAGAGCCCAGTCTCTTTCACGAGCATCATCCTCTCAATCAAAGCTTTCCTTTCCCTCATCCTTGTCATACCTGCTGGCTATGTCCCCCCCCCCTCCGCAACTCCCACCACAAAGAACCACCTTGTGCAAACAGAACGGCTTGTCAAAGCTGGCACAGAGGAAATGGCAGTGGAGGATGCAATTTATTTCTTGCAGGTGTGTTTTGTCATTTGCAATCGATCAAGGGCAAAGAACAGTCAGGAGTGTGGGAAAAGGAAAGGTGACAGAAATGGTAAATTGGGCTGCAGGAGCTGCATGAGGCAGGAGCCAAGGCTTCTGATAGGCATCTCCCTCTTTTTCTCCCCCCCTTATACAAGGTAACAAATCAGACAACTAAAGAGCATGGCTGTTTTCGCAGGGCTGATGTGGCATTTTGGTTTGAGATGTTTTCAGAACTTGTTTCTTAGAGAAGCTATCATTTAACTCCTAGAGGCTGGTAAGTACAAGAGCAGGCATTAAATGCACCACATCAAATCCAGGATAAGAGCTTTGATCATTAAGTTCTCTTGCTGCTAGAGAAATACTTATCTTGCTCCTGAGTGGTTGGTTCTTTCACCTTTACTTTTCTGTCGCCTGTACTATCACGCCTGCCACTGATACAGTTGAATTTATATGAGCCCTGAGCAGAGGCCAAATAGATTGGCTTCAGTATGAATTGTGAACCGTCATCTTCTTCCAAATTGTGCTATTATCTAATAGCAATGAAAATTAATTGATGAAAGCAATAATCTACCATGGTATTGGATTCTCAAGTATTTATAGCATTTGTATTGTAGTTATTCCAATATAAACAATCATATATCATTGTAGATTTATTACTGTTGGACTATTTGATACTCTTTCATTCAAATACTCTCAATCAGACCTTTGGATTGTAGGAAAAAGTTTGGAACTATGCTGAAAAATCCAAAGAAGTGCAAAATCTAAGCAAAAAACTTGCCTAACAATCTGGATTGTGAAAATTGTCAGTCTATTTAACTTCAGATAAGTTGAGTTTTCCAACATCCCTAGAGAGCAAAGATTTCTTACAAGCTTTCTTTCTTCACTATCTTTAGGCATGTATGAATTGCTACAATACACCTGACGGTTCCTTATGGTTAGCTTGTAAATCTATAGACCGTGGGCCTGTCCTTTTTGTCCTATGTGTACCTCCCCCACTTTCATCTGCATGGTTGGCAGCATATCTCACAAGTGTGAACACAGGCATTAATTCAAAAATGGTCACATGGTCACATTACAGTAAAAGGGAAACAAGACGTTATGGTGCATTGATATTACCCTGTAACAAATCTTAACAGATCTGCACACAAAGCACTCATGTTAGTTACACCTTTATTTAGTGGCCAAGTGACCCACTATCACTCAGAATAGAGGTGTGCTGATGTGAATTCCCTTTGCTAAATATCTACACAACAATTATAATGCACTGTTTACCAATAGGTTGCAGTACAATTTAGTGCCATTCAATATGCTCTCTTTCCTAAATGTGGGCATGTATATTTATGTAAGAAAGGATATATGTGTTTTTATATTTATAGGTATGTGCATGTGCCTATAACTATAATATAATTAAGAGAATCTATACATAATAGAGAAATCCATCAATTACTGCTGTGGATGATATGACAATGAAGAAAATATTAGATTCTGCATCTCGCTTCCTTACTTCCTTACTGCATATACTCTCTTGGTCTGCATTCCATTTTTTAAAAAATCTGGATTGAGGATGAAAAGCATTATTGAAGATATAAAAGCAAATATAGCCAAATTATTGGTTCATAACAAAACTGATATTAAAGATGCTATAGGCTACTACAAGATTTCACAATACTTATTAGCATTTATTATTTCTATAATTACACTTCCCAATCTAGTGGATGCCATATTGGTGGAAAGCTGCCTGTTTCTTTACCCCTTACTTTCCTACCGTAGTCTGGCTACTCACAGAAGCAACATTAACGTAATCATCATCTGAGAGTGTGTCCAACATGTCATAGACTGAGGTCTTCATCAGCTTCAGTGTCAGGCCACTGACACTACCGCTCCTGTAACAGAAGATAAGATAGAGCTCATTATGCATCTCTTTCATTAAGATCCTTTCCTTGCTTCCAAAAGCATGACCCAGCAACATATCTCCTCCGCTGTGACTCATGAGGTTGCCTTTATCTTGCTCCGAGCCCGAATCTGAGACAGCTTAAGATTGCTCTTAGCTGTTCTAATTTCAAAATGCTTTCCCCCATCAGCAGGCAACAAACTGTAGGAACTTAACCACGACTCCAAGTACCTTTGGATGTACTTCAATGCTCATTCTGTCAATCGCACTGTCAAGTCACCATATGTAGGAATCAGCCCCCCCACCCCCACCCAGCACTATGGTCCACTTCAAATTGGTGAGGACATATTCTTCCCCTCAGGTTTCAGACTCTGTTTCACCAGTGTCCTTGCTTGTTTCTTTCAAATAGAAACATTCTTCAGTCCATATCCAGGAGTTTTTAGCAACAGCAACTGATTATTATTATTATTATTATAAGCTTGATTTGAATCCACTCCAGATTCAAAGCTTTTTTTTTAAATCACCCACAGGCCACAGTTTAAAAACTAGTTGATTAAGCAGCACATGCCACTAAATGTACCTGGGACCTCTCAATAAATAAGCATAGGATCAAATGTTAAAATTCTTCTGTTAAGGCACTTCTGTCCCAGCTGTGAGAATTAATCTTTTGTTGGAAAAGGTGGAAGGTAAAAAAGGAGATTCCTGGGATCAGCAAATCAATATGGATAGACTTGTGGTTTTAAAAGCTTTCCAGCCTTATTGCTGTTTACTTAGGCATAAGTTATGCCAAATTAAATAGGATTGATTTTCCAGCAAAATGGGTTTTAGCATATGTGCTGATTGCATCTAACCTTTCTTTCATACACATCTGTGCCTTCAAAATCTTGAAGCAATATATCCTAGCTCAGCTGCATAAGACTGCAGCCCACTGCTCACTAAATTCCCAAAAGGAATTTAGAGCTGACCTTGAAAGACCATTAAGGAGGGACTTAGATAAGGGATTATGGAGTCCAAAGACTGAAGCAAGAAGAAAGGAGAAATTTAAAATAACCCCGTCTTGTTTTTGTTTAGTATAAAATGGGACAGGCAAAAACTTAGATAGGCCCAGATTCCTCCCAAACAACTTTGAACACACCTGGGCACTATCAATAGGGTGCAGATTGGTAAGGGAAACAGCAAATCTTAGGTTGCTCCAGTTCTGAGAAAGGATGGCCCACTCCTATCTGCTCGCAAAGTTTAGAGCAGGGGTGTCAAACTCGCAATGTCACGTGATGTGTTGCGACATATCAGTACTTTTCCCCTATTGCCAGCAATGGGGTGGGCGGGGTTTTGGCGTGACGCATCCGGCCTGCGGGCTGGCAGTTTGACACCCCTGGTTTAGAGCTTTGGGAGAGGTATATATTGACGGTGAGGGAGGAAAGTCTCACCCTCTTTGTCAGCCAGATCAGCCAAATCCACCCCGGTGACTAATGTGAGGAGAAATGTTGCAGTCAGATTGTCCTGATATCCGAAGCACCAGGTATGTTATAATTCTTTTCCATGATTATCTTAGGCTGTAGAGACAGCCTCTCCTGCCCACTGAGCCTCCAAATTCATTTCAATAATTTTAGCATTTTACTGGGACCCAAACAATGAGATATAGTCTGAAAATATGACAAGTGGAAAATTGTAGGGAAAAATACTCACACATCCACAATGATCACCATGTCTTTTGGAGATGAGGCCCCTTGAATGTACCTGCATTAAGCAAAAAGAGAAATAAAATGAGAACTTGCATTCAATAGACTTTGTGAGCTTAGATAAAGGCTGAAGGTATCACTATAGGGCCTGCCTTACTACCTTTAGCAGGCTGAGGTAGCACCTTTAAGGGGGAAGTTTTGGGGTGCTATTACAGAGAACTCAACCATTTCAGAAAACTCAACAATTTCATTAAGAGAATAAAGACATTTGAATGTTCTTTTCAAGATTCCACAGTATCTTGAGCTGAGCTGATTCTGCTGAAGAGATGGACAAAGAATAGCATGGATGTTGGCATAATAATTAGGTGTCAGTTCATACAAGCCACATCTATTATTTATGGTCAGTCCTGGAAAGCTGAAATGTGACTAGACAGTCTCTTAGTTGGGAAATCAGAACAGCTTAAAAGATGAAATGAAAAAAAGAAGCTTGTATCCATTTGTTACTTTGATCTATTACCATTTGTACGTCTTCTGGGCACATTTCTAGCTCTTTTTGTGCAATCAAAAATGTATAAAGCAATTTTTAAAAAGGAATACAGACTAATTTTACAGTACTTTTGATTCATTTTTTTTTAACTTTATAGTTTTGGGAATAAAAAGGAAAATCTCCCTGGAGATTGAGCTCAACTCCTTGTGACAATATGGATGCATTTGCATTATTTGGGAGGCACTGGTTTCCTGTTGTTATTTTGTTTCTGGATGCATTACTCTAATCTACAGTCTTGAGATTTTCTGATGGTTGCCTAACCAAGTGCAAACCAGGACTAAAGCTGCTTACCTTTCCAAGATCAACCACGTAAGGCTTGCCAAAAGCTATGGACTTTTTAAGAGACTGGCAATGAAATTACAAAGGTTGCAGACATGTGCTCTCTTTAAATGTAAGTTTGCTAAACTGGGACCTCTTCCTGGCCTTTAAATATATTTATATTTATTTACTTACTTATTTACATTTATTAGCATCCTGCCTTTATTACCTTTACAAATAACTCAAGGAGATGAACCTACCTAATACTCCTTCCTCCTCTTAGTTTCCTCACAACAACAACCCTCTGAGGTGGATTGAGCTGAGAGGGAATGAATGGCCCAAAGCTGGTTTTCATGGCTAAGATGGAACTTGAACTCACAGTCTTCTGGTTTCTAGCCTCCTGCCTTAACTACTAGACCAAAGTGACTGAAAAAGTATTCCACTAAGTACCTAAACAATGTTATTTCCTATTGTTCTAGATGAGCCCAAAGTATAAGAACAGCTAATTGATCACCAAAATATACTCTTCTTGGCACATAGTTCTCTGTAGATTCCAATTCTCCCCCAAATGTTGAGAATGCCATATTCTTCTATGAAATAAGCTTCTACATGTATGCTAGTACACCGTTATCTAACCAGATGCTCACTAATCACCTTTTTAAATTCATTTTGAGATCTTTAGAATCGGTCACTTCCTCTGCTATCTTGTCTTGTGTCCTCTGGATCATGTTATTTCAGAATGTTGCATTATTTTTTTCTCCAAAATCGTCTCTGGTTCTTCCATTATTACAATTCAGCGATGCATAGCATACAACTAATAAGTAACCTATGGAATCCTACTTTTAACCAAAATATGCAATATTTTGTCAGAACAATGAAAACAGCACTGCAGGGGTACACCATAAGCATTTGCCCTTTGATACCCCTGGAAAAGGGCAGAGTTTGTATCGCAATGCCATTTGTATCACTCTGCCCACCCCCTTCTACCCTGCAGAAGCTGCTACCCACAACATCCTATAAGATACTAAAGGAAACTTTCTGATGCATATTTTAGCCCTTTCCTTCATAACTAAGGACTAAAAAGTAAAATAAATCTATTCTTTTATTTCCATTCATTTATTTACAACCTACACTTTCATTTCCATGGCTCCATAGCAATTTATTACATCCTCCTCCTTTCTCTTAGCTTCACAGCTTTAAAATGTAACAGTTTTCCTTTCACTTAATTCATTTGTTAATTCATGCTCTTTACCGTGAATTATGTCTAAATGTCTAGGCAAGCTAAACTGATACAGAGGCCAACCTGAGTTTAAAGACCTTGGTAGGTTAAAGGTTTCAGTTCAGGCGCTGGCATTGGTTTTATTCTTTCACCCTCCATTAGCATACATCATAGGTGAGCAAATTATTCAAACCAGGAACAATGCCATGCCAGTATCTTCATGATTATGATAAAGGGACACACGATCCTCTTTTTTGTGATATAGGAGCAGCCGAGAGAACCGACTTTCGAAGAGAACAAAGGAAGATTAAAAGAAAGGGAAAGAACTTTTCTTCATCATCATTTGATAATAAAGACCTTGAAGAAAACAGTGCTAACTTGCAATGGTTCCAGAGATACAAATTTACCAAGTTGCATAAACC